CTTCTCCAGGGCAGACAGCCAGGGGAGCACATCCTAATCTTGGCCAATCAGAGACTCTCTCCCAGGACTTTGACTTGTGAATGAATGAAATAAAGACAGAAGAAGTGGCTAGAATTTAATCGTCCATCCCTGCAGTGGCACCCTGACTAGACCATTTCTACTAAGAGATAATTCCTAGGGCTTTCACTTTCTAGCTTTTCAGAACTGCTTTCTCCCATCCCTTTCTAAGCCTGGATCTCCAACCCTCCTGGAAGTTCTAAAGGCCCAATCCTACCAACAAACTCTCTTCTACTCAGTTCACAGAGACTGTTTCTGTTGCTTATAAGAAACAAAAAGCCCGATGGATGCTCCAACCCCATGTCTGACCAGCTGTGTGTGATCTTGAGAAAATCATCTAGTCTCTTTGATTAGAAAAATGACGGGTTAGTCCCGAAGTGCTTTCCATTGTGGACAATGTAGTACGATTGTGACCTCCTTCAGAAGGCCGTCTTTGTACCAAGAGGGCCCAGATGGACATCAAAGCGTGGATTAGAGTTTTAGCAACAAGGGTAGAATATAAAAGCTCCATTAGGAAAGATAATTGACAGCATTGGGGTGCTGCCATGGAAGATTTCTTAGACAGTTACGCCCAGGTAGACACTAACCAAAACCCACTCCACTACTGGTGGCACCAGATCTTTTCATTAGCAAACAGGTGCTATTTAGTGTCATCTTGCCATAATTTCAAGGGTCCACTTATCAATTCTATGATTTCTCTAAGACTGCTTAACTGCATCACTGGAAAACCAGTTTTTAGGGTGTCTTTGTTTCCCACTTTAAAGTCTCTTTTGCAGCAGACATGCATCTGCCTTACAAAACTTCAGCATATGGAGCAGAGGCTCTGTGAATTCATAGTCCATACCTTCAAGGAAAAATTACTTCATTAGAACAGCAAAGTGGCCCCAGTTTGGCCTTATGTTCTAGCAAAAGCTCATTGCTTAGCTGCATTTAATAATCCATGAAACATTTCTATTAACTTTAGTGTGTGAATTGTGTGGCTGCAGAATGGGTAAAAAAAAAGTGGGAAGCAGGAATAAAAAATATGCAGAAATTGAAAATAAGTGAGATCTTAAATATTTGATCAAGGCCTCTAATTTAAGGTAAGAAGTTACCATCTTGGGCCCTCAAATGCCAACAGAAGCCACAGAACACCATTCTGAATTATTAAAAGGACTAAGGGAAACTTTTTTCTTCTCACTAGTTTTAAACGAGTATGTAGCCTTTCAAGCTAACCTTTGCTTAAATATTTAACACAGACATTGAGTCAAATATAAAATAGCAAAAGTTCTCAATCTGATATTCACCTGTAATTATGAATCAGATTATATAACGCATCTCAACCACTTCATTTTATTTTATTTTTTCTCACTCTTCTCCAACAATTCTTCCCAATTTGAGAGGAATCCAGTTTGGATTAGCTGAAAGTCTGCATTCTAGAATATTTTTGAACTGTATATTTACTGATATGGTTTATATTTTTCATTTTCTCAATTCAATTGATTCATTCATTCAACAACTATTTATTGACCACCTACTAGGCATCAGGCACTGTTCTAAGTATAAGGATATATCAGAAAACAAAATATATGAAGGCTCAGCCCTTTTTGGACCTTACGCTTATTTATTACCCAAACAATACATAAAAATATATTCCCATGACAGATGATAGGCGCTGTGAATGGGCTGCTATGGCAGTGCGTATTTGTCTGTTTTTTAGGGAGGGTGGTCTATTAGAAAGCTAATGAATTGGGCAAGTTATCTTGGGGTGGGGGGAGTGTACCACTTCAGTCAGCAAGGACTGGCCAGTGGTCACGTCAGGAGACAATGTAGGGAGATCTTGTCAGGGCAGATCTTGTGAGGGCCTAGGAGGCCACTGGGAAGGACTCGGGATTTTACGCTGATTGTGGAGGAAGCTGCTGAGAGCTTCTGAGCAGGGGTGTACTAGGCTCTGTTCTACGTTTTAAAAGGATCTCTTTAGCTCAATGGTTAAATGGCCAATGGAGCCAGGCTGACAAAGTGACGGCTTTCTAGCAGAGGCCTGCTTCAAAGGCCATGTAAGAAAGACTTGGGGTTGGCATTGTCTGTTCACCGCTTGTGAGAAGACACCCACTTTCTGAAGTACTCGGACTGACCGAAAAGTTTGTCCTCTTTGGTCATTTTAAAAGTCCACCGGTCTACTTTTTCATATTTTATTTTTACTCAGCCAAAGCTTGCCCTTTCTCAGTGAGAACTCAGAAGTCATGGTTATGGGCTCATCCAAATGCAGAGGCTGAGCCAGCCCGAAGTCCCCTCACGACCCGGCCAAGAGTGAGTTTTCCAGAATGTTCTCAAGACACACCTCTAGGCCTGAGACAGGACTCTCAGGCATCTGCACCTTCATTACTGCCGTAATGAGGTGCTCCTGCTAAAACTCCACCAGAACACTGTTAGGTGAGAGAAGGAAGCTGTGCAATAGTGTTATAGCTTGATCTCATTTGGTAACCACATTATTACGCCTAGAAATAATTTGTAAAATGTAGCTGGCTTAACAATGCACCCTTGATTGGACTGCCCTTCCTTCTCTGTGTTCCTTCTCTGTGCTTCTGTTGGCGTTCACTGTATCTCCCAAATAAACACAACTTGCACTTGAAGTCTTGTCTCGGGATCTGCTTCTGAGGGACCGGAACTGAGACACCCTCTATGTAAAATCCTCCCTCTTCCTGAGGTGGCGTTACCTGGCCCCATTTCTTGAGCCATAATGGCAGACAGGATTCAGAAGTAAAACTTACCAATAAAGGAGAGATCCAGAAATATTATCCCCATTAAACCCATGACCCAGCAGCCCTTTGTGCCCTCAAGCAAAGGACATGACTCTCATCTAGATTTGTCTCTCCAGAATGGATTTCTCAACTACTGCCCTTCCCGACTCAGATTAGGTGGTGTGGCTAGCATGTGAAGTTCTTACCTCCCACCACTAGGAGACACTATTTCGTGCCCAGAAAGCCAGGCTTCCTCCTGGACCAAGCCCTAGTCTTCACTACCCCAGGGAAAGAAGCACCCTTTGCATGGGGAAGTCATTGTCTAGTCTCACTCTTGCTCTCTGTGTGCAGGGTCAGGGCCCCAGCTCAGTTTGGCTGTGGTACTGACATGCTACACACAGATTCTTAGAAGTCCCTTACCTTTCTCATGAGCCTCCCACTCTGCTGGGAGACAAACAGTTATCAATAAGAGAACATCCAAAGATAATTATCCTTGAAATTTTTTTTAAATCTCAGGGTGGCAATGGCCTTTCTAAGTATGATACAAAATCCAGAAGCAATAAAAAGAAAAGAGTAATAAATTCGACTAATATTTAAAATTTCTGAGTTGTTAAAAAAGTAGCAAGGTTTTAAAAATTGAAAAAAAAAAATAATTATCCTTGCATATATGGATATTAAGCCACTTAATCCTCCTCCAAACCCAACGTGGTAGAGGTTGTTCCTTCCAATTTCAGAGAAGGAAACTGAGGCTTGAAGTGGAAAAGTGACTTTGCCCAAGGTCACCTTGTGGAGCCACATTTCACACCCTAAGTCGGAATTACTCCCAAGTCCCTGATCCTCAGGAGCTGGATGAGGGAAGGAGAAGGAGAGTGAGCAGAAGAGAAGGGAGGCAGAGCAGAGGAAGGGGAGGAGCTGAACTCTCTGAGGAGAGGAGGGGTGTTAGGGAGGGTGTGGATGCTGTTTCTTCAGTCTGAGTGGGGTGGGATGGACCAGCCCCTTCACCTGGGCACTCACTGGATGCTAGCTGTGCCCCCTGTGTTGATACAAGAGGGACAAGACGGGCCCTCCTAAAAGTGGAGACAGTGGGCCTGTTCAGCCAGCCTCATGGGAGCACTGTGAGCATCTGTAACCACGCAGGGGCCCAGAGCCAACCTTTAAAACACTCTCCATACTAAGGTGACAACTTGTCACCAATGCTAGGAAAAGCTGGGAATTAAGTGTGCAGCAATCACAAAACCTTGACATCATCCTTGACGTCTCTCTTTTTTGCATACTCCAAGTCAGGCCATTAGGAAATCCTATTGGCAGAAACTGACGAATCTTGACCTTCACCCCAATCCCCTGGGAGGGCTGGGAGTTATGGAGGGTTCTGTGTGGGCAGAGAAAGCCAGGCCACACTGGAGAAGCAAATTCAGCAAGTAAATTACCTAAGATCTCAGGGGATAGGGACCTGAATTTCCGAGGCCCCAGGATTTTGTTGTGATTGCTTTTCTCATTCCAAATAAATGTTCACTTGCAAGCATTAATTCTGTAGGGCTTTCTGAAACAGCCCCCCCTTCTTCCACAATTGTATAAGCTGCAGGTCCCAGAAAACCTTCCTCCACTCCCGTTTGAGGCCTCAGAGCTCACCAGGGCAGGACTCGAGGATAGAGGTGTAAATTTGTCAAGAGAAGGGAGGCAAGGGCTCAGTAAGAGAGTAAATCCTCATCTAACATGGCAGAAAGTCAATAGATAAATCAAGAAATCGCTATGTAAGGTTATTTTTTTAGCGACAAGGGGGTGACCACCAGAAGAACTAAAGGAGGAACTGATATAAAGGGCTGTGTGTGCGGAGCAAGGGAGAGGAGCCTGTTGCTTTCATTATAAGAACATCTAGATAATTCTATTTTGTAAAAAGTGCTCATGCATTACTTTGGTATGTTTTTTAAATTCAATCTTTAAAAAAGAAAGTAAAATTAAATTGCAATAAGAAATAAAACGGAATGCAAAACATATGAAAATAAAAAGCAAACGGCATACAACACAAAAGGGCCAGTGGGTGGGAGCAGAGGTGGGCCGAGTGGGCGTGGATTGGAGCGAAGGGGCGGGGCTCAGGTCCCCGTCTCATGAGGTCCCGCCCCCAGTGAGGGGGCGGGGCGCGGAGCTCAGTTCCCCTCTGACTCCGCCCGCAGCAGGGACCGGGGCGGGCGGGGTCAAGTTGGCTCTAGACCCGCCCCCCAGCGCGGGGGCGGGGCAGCTCGTCCCGGGCTGTCCCACCGCGAAGGCCTCGCGCGCGGAGACCTGACGCCGTCCCCGCCGGGTCCTTGAGGGCAGGGCCGCGCGCGGGCGGAGAGCCCGGTGTCGGCGCGCCCGATTCCCCGTCCCCTGCAGTCCCCCGAGGCTCGCCGAGAGCCTCTGCGGAGCCCCGCGACGCGCAGGTAAGCGCAGCCGGGGCCGGGCCTGCGCAGCCCGCCTTGGCCGAGGCCTGGGCCCCGGCTCCGGGCGACAGGTGGCGGCGGGGTGCGGAGCCCGGGGTCAGATGAACCCCAGGACGGCCCCCCTCTCCCGCCGCGCGCCGCCGGTTCTGCCGCAGCGTTGTCAACCTAACCCCGTAACCTCTGTGGCTGCCCAGAGCCCGGCAGACGTGAGTTGGGATCCCAGCTTCAGCACTCCTGCACTCAACAGGTGCAAAGAAGTATCCAACAAATATTTGTGTGCCACCGAATGCCCGCCGCTGGGCCAAGTGCTGGGGTGCAGTGGTGGCGAATGAACGTGGTGCCCGCCCCCGTGGAGCTCACTGTCTAGTGGGAGAGACCCACAGTGCACAGATAGTCTACACACATGAGGTGTACGTTAAAACCATGGGGTAAGGCTGTGGAGATGGAAAGTGCAGGGTGCTGGGAGAGCACCTAACCGGTGGTCCCGTCTTGAAGGATGCTGGAGCTCAACTTCAGGATGTCCGAAGTCCAAGTCCAACTTCCGAGTCCAGGGTGGAAAACGACAGAGCAAACATGTTCTGTAGGGAGAGAATGTGGCTTGTTTGAGGAAAGGTAGCTCAGTGGGGCAGCCTGCAGAGAGCTGAGGGAGAGAAAGTTGCCTAACTTCCTCCTCTGTAAAGTGGCACTGTTCCTACCCATGGAGGATGGAGACGGTGAGTGTAAATGACTTGGCAGTGTTCCAGGTGTGCAGTAAGTGAAGCAGAGGTGAAGCTGTGTCTGGAGGGAGCGGGACGTTGGTCTGGACTGAACACAGTGTGCCTGCCCCTGAGCACTCACTTCCCCTCTCCTCAAGTCCTGTTTCCTTGTCTGAGTAGACTCTCCCAAACAGCTTGTTCTCTAACATGTTGAATGGTTTAGTCATTCGTTCTTGAAACGTGTACCTGGTGCCCAATTCACGCTGGCTCAGAGGATTCAGAGAGAAACCAGACATGCCCTCCTGGAGCTCATGTAGGGTGGGCCAGGTGAAGTAAGCTGACAGTTCCAGCCTGGTGGGCTCGGTGCTCTGGAAGCCCAGCGGAGGAGGTCTCACGGAAAGCCCCTCTGCTTCCTGCCAGGTGCACATTTCCCAGAAAGCCTCACCTGTAACTGCCAGCTCCATGAGCCCCCAGAACGTGAAGCTCACACTCTTTGACTGAGCATCAGTTACTTCCTCACTTTCATTGGTGGCGTCACACTGTAAAACTGGCCAGAAAACTCCCCAGAGGCTGCAGCCTGGTTGGTCCTTTGCTGAGGACCCCTCAGATCCTGAAACCCCAAGATTTAGGAGAGGGCTCTGGGCTTCAGGAAACACCTGTCAGCTGCTTGGTATATTTTATTGGCTTGAATGATCCTAGTTCCTTCTTTGGCTTTGTTTACACTGTTGGTGTAGGCTCAGGATGAGCTCCATGCAAACAGGCTTGGAGGCCCAGAGAGTGGGGGAGCACAGTTGAGAGAGGAGTCTGGTCCCATTTGTGGGGGAGCACAGTTGAGAGAGGAGTCTGGCCCTGTTTGTGGGTAGTGGTAAAGAAGCAGAGGACAGATGTTCACAGAAGGGAGCTGGAGGGAGAGAGAGAGAGGACAGTCTTTGTGCAGCCGCTCTGTTTCCCTTGCAGCCCGTGGCAGTGCCAGCCACAGAGAGAAGGGGAGCGCCAGGGTAGGCAGTCCCAGACCTGAGTTCGGATTCTTATTTGTTACTTCCCAGCTCTGTGACTGGCTCTGGGCAGTCACTTATTGCTTGATTGTGCAACCTCAACACGGTGCTTTACATAAGTTGGCCCTGAAGAAATATTGGCTCCCTCCCTATTCCCTTAAATAAACTAAAATAGAAATAATAATAATGCCTACCTCAGAGGGCTATTATGGGGTGTTAATGAGTTAATGTACCTAAAATACATAGAGCGGTGCCTGATATGTATGAAGTTACTACTCCTGCTGCTGCTACTGTTATTATTCCTTATTCTGGGCAAAACTTGGTGAAACAAGGCAGGCAGAGCGTGGGAGCAGGGGTGAAGGGTGGCTCTGTGGGCCTGTGCAGGGTGATTAGCCAGGGAGTTGGGTTATCTCTTGCAGTGGTTTTACCAGAAAGCACCAGCCCTGGCAGGAGAAAGGGGTGTTCTGCATGATAAAGGGCGTCCTGCGCAGCCAGGCTGTCAGAGGCCTGAAGACTTAGGCCAAAGAAAACACAGCAAAAGCATGGGGGAAAACTAGGGTTGAAAAAGACCTAAAATTGCCTTGTTTGGTTGTCTCTAACCCACAGCCAGGTGTGGGTCACCTGTGAGTGGCTGCCCCTGCTCCGGCTGCCCGCCGCCCCCATATGGGTATGAGACTGGTGTAGGAGCTGTGGAATCCAGTTCTGTAAGCCCCTACCCAGCAGAGGCCTGGGCCCATAATGAAGGAATGAATGTGCATAAACCCGCAAGGTGAACTTCCCTGTGTTTTAGTGTCTGTTAAGAGAAAGGAGTGGGAAGATAGGGAAAGACAGCTAATGTTTGTAAGCGTTTGCTAAGGGCCAAGCATTTCCATGTATGTTGCATCCTGGTGGTGAACATCGCAGCTTTGGCGTCAGATAAAATTGCCTGTGTGACTTCGGGTGCATCTCACAAGCTCTCTGAAGCTCAGTTTTTGCATCTGTAAAATGAGTCATTGTGCCTATAGGTACAGTAAACCCCCAGGCCTGTTGGAATGCTCATATATAAGTAAATGGAGTGCCGTCTTCAGTGCACAGCGCGTGGTGTGGTAAGTGCTCCGTCAACAATAGCTGCTGTTACTATTATTATATTATAATCCTCCCAATGGTCTCCACTGTGATGAGGAAACAGAAGGCCACAGACACAGATGGGTGGTGTTGATTCTGAACTCAGTCCCATCTGGAAGCAAAGGCTCTCTACAGACACTAACCAGACAGCTTGTGTGAGATGAAGTCAACGTTATGTGCATCTCATTCATTACTTAAAGCTCTTGACTATGTGAAATCTTCAAAGAAAAAAAATTTCAAAATTATAATTTATGCGCCTTTCAAGTTCAGGTATTTTATCATCTAGTTAAATCTTCCATGCATTTATGTTAAACCACTTTGGGCTGTCGAAGCTCTTAAATAAAGTGGCTTGTGCTGCCCAGTGTCTGTCTTGGCTCGTTTGTCATAGTTCCCTGGTAAAGACAGACAGGTCCCATTTTGCAGGGCAGGCCTCAGGATGCTGTTCCTGCCCCACTGTTTTTTCTGCGCAGTTCTGCCTGGTGGTGGTGAACAAACCACGGTGGGCTCATGGTTCCCTCATCATTATCTCTTTCACGTACACGTGGCCCCACAGTGCCAGTCTAGGAACTAGGAATAGAAAGGCATTCTGTTGCTGGTATGAATCTGGGGAAATCTCAGTGATGAGTTTTTGGTAAAAGTGCCTTGGATGAAGGTGGCAGTGTCTTCTGGAAGTCAGAGCTGTCGGCTCTTTCCAACCAGGAGTGCAGTTTCGAGGCCTGGCCTCCTGCCTGGTGAAGTCTGATCTGCATCTCCACCTCCCTGCTCTCCCTGCCTCTGGCCAGAGCTGCCCCTAAAGCTAAGATCCCTGGAGCAGCTGCAGGGCGCAGCCTATTGCAGGGAAGCCTTTCTGAATCGACCCTGCCTCCCCCTAGTCCCCGTGGGCACCTCTGCCAGGCACGGCTTTCTCCAGCTGCCCTGGGATTGCCTCCTCTGCTGGGCTGTGAGCACGTCCACAGCTATTGGGTCAAGTGTTCCTGGTACCCAGCACCGTGCCTGCCTGATTATCCTCCCTCCCTCTCTCCCTGCCTCCCTTCCTTCTATGAATTCTTCAGGCAGTGTCCCGGGGATCAGAGTGCTGAGCCAAAATGACACAGTCTCGACCCTCCTGCAACCCACAGGCATCATGAGGCCAATTATTAATAAAGACAGAATTGAGCACATAAACACACACACAATGTCAAATTATAAACTGGATTAACTGCCAGGAAGAAGAAGCCTGGCATGCCACGAGAATGTGTAAAGGTGGAACAGGTAGAGAAATATAGTCAGTGTCAATATAGATAGAGTGGGTCCATAAATATTGGTTGAAGGCTTATGCTCATTTAATTACATACCTTTGAAGACCGTTGGATGGTATTTTTCTATAAATTCTGGTAAACAATGTTTTATGCTGGCAAGATAATCTTATAAGAATGTGTCCTTTTAAAAGTAACTGTGCTTTGGCTTCAAAATGGGACAATAACGCTAATGCTTCAGTTGACTTAACCCCGTAGGGCTGACAGAGCCCCTCCTTGGATGTTGTCTCGTTGGGTGCACTGGTTCTCGGCATCATACATCTCGTGCTGGGTGGCGGCAGGTCACCTGAGGGTAGGTCTGGCACGGTGGGTGTTGGAGCCCTCTCCCTTCCAAGTGACATGGTCCATCTGAGACCCTGTTTGTTTTCTCCTTCTTTGATACCCCTGGGCCACCAGGCTGAGGTTCCAGGGTAGATTTTATCACGTTGTAGCTGGTGTCCTGCCATTCAAGCGGAAAGAAGGGCGCAGCTGACTGCTGTTGTCCAGAAGGCAGGACCACCTGTCTGCAGGCAGCTGAGGCAGGGTGGGCCAAAGCATCCCACCCCTGCAGAGCTGTGCCATCCCAGCACGGTCCTTCCTGAGGACACCACGCCTGCCGTCAAGCCCATTCAGTTCCACTGAGAACAAGGAGAAAATAACACTAAAAGACCAGTTTTTAATAAGATGTGATCCAAACAGCCCCAGGAAACATTCTTTCTCCATGACTGAATATTATTAGAGACTTATTTTATTTGTTTGGCTGGAGCTGATGACAAAATATATCTTTGATCCCGCCAGTCTCAGATGTAGACCTTATTACGAGAGATGAGCTGCCATCTTCCCCGAAGCAAAGAAGGAAACTAGCATCTCTGTGCAGAGATCGAGAAGGCCTCCGCACCACTCTTGGGGGCGGGGGGGTGGTGGTTTGACTG